CACGGGGAGACGGAAGTAACGATTAAGCAGCGAAGAAAGAGCTGACGTATTAATCCGGCCAGCATTGTGCGAGGGGATCTGGCGTGATGCTGCTCGCTACCTTTATGCACGATCGTACGACATGCGTCTAACGTCCGCCAATTGAGGCACGCTTCGAGATAATTCGTGTGTTTCACTGTGTTTGCGTATTTGCCAATCAGACGTGCGCGAGACTCGCGGTTTCCGTCCGACAAGAGAACGAAACACGTGGAACGAGTTTTCCTCTTCCAACCACTACTCTTACGAATCGTTGAACCCGTGAACGAAACGAACTTTCTTAATAAATTTCTAAACTGTTTCAATCCTCATCTCTCCTCTTTCTAATTTCGAAAATCTCGCATGGAAAATTTGGAAGAGGTTATTTAACTTGATTCATTTTTTGTAATTGTTTCTACAAGATTTCTAGATTTTCGACAGATTCATTTTTTTTCAAATTTCTAATTCGAAGGATAAATTTACAGTTGCCATTATGGAGGCGATCGCTATTTGAAATCTCTGACGAATAAAGCTGAAAGACTTGTTTATTAGACGGTATTATTTCAGGATGCAACAATTATCTACAATGTGATATAAATTTTATGCAGAACGTCTGGCATTTTCTTCTCTGCGATTTTTTGCAGCTTGACATTGGAACACTCACTTATAGAATTCTATCTTGTCCGCTCGAACAAGATTTATAGCCGTTTATCAGGCACAGTTTGTTTTTCTCGTAACGATCGATACAACGTATAATTGATTATTTTTTTGTTCGATAAAACACGAAAGAAAATTCATTCAATTTAAAAGAGGAAACAAAATTTCCCGTCCATGAATCTTGAATCATCTTTTGCCTCCAAATCGAGTATCCCTTTTTGTCGGGATAGAGAGAGAAAAACGAGAGGTATCGAGAACGTATCACCGTTGAAAATTCGAATCGATCGATCGATCGGCTCATTAAACGAGGAGTCAGCGGTTCGTGAGAGAAGCGGATCGCGCGTTCGCGCGACTTGCTTGCGACGCGAGATTTCACGCTTCGAGGATCGATTAATTATTCCCTCGGCCGGCGGAGGCAGAGGAGAGCGAAAAAAGAAAACACGGTGGAATCGTTTAACCGGCGATATCCTGGCAAAAGGCCTTGCGCGACGCTTCGTTGCATACGTAACGAGATCTCGTCGACGACAAAAGCGTGTTACCACGCCGTTTCACGCTTTTTGCCGTGACTACTAATTTTTATGGATATATCGTAACGCGTTTCTTTTCGTTTCCATCCTATCCCCCTTTTTGGTCATTCGTGTATCGTTCCGCTCGATTAAGCCGAACGCGTTCTTTGTCTCGGGTTTCTTAATGCTTCCGGTGACGGAGGATGATTTAATGATGAATTGGAGTTTACGGGGATAGTTAAAATATCCGTTTCAATCATTTCGCGTTTCTTCGAACCATTTTCCAATTTCTCGCTCCTTCGTTTCATCATTACGGTTCGAGATTCTCTTCTTTCTTCGAGATTTTATTATATAAGGTAGAAATTATCGTCGAAATGTCGACGAATCTATTTCGCAATCGGATTCTCAATTGAATTAGAAAACAACGTTTTACGAATAAAAATTGTACACGTGAAAGTAGGAGAGGAAATAATGTTTCAGAATCGCGTATTAATATTTAGAAATAGATCCCATAATAATGAGAAATTGATGAAAATTCGTATTGCGTATTAATGGCGTATCAATGGCGTCGATGATCCGACGTGACGGATTAATCGTTAATAGATAACTAATTAAAGAGAATTTTACGTTAAAATTAACGGGAGAAATTTTTTTGAGGTTACAACTGCAAGATGCGAGCTTAAAAGTGTAAATATTTTCGATAAAAAAATTAATTATTAATTAATTATCGATGTATCGTTCGAAGCGGTGGCGAAGTATTAGGAGCCGTATAACCAAAATTAGTGGCACGTATTCTCTGTCCTTCTCGCACAGTATTGCTTTCCTTATCTTTGGTGACGTCACGAATACCTCCTTGCACATTCTGCTATGCTAGTAGCAAGTTGGAGCTTCCAGCGTCCAAACGCGAGATGGCGCCACCGGTACTAAATTTTTCTATTTATTTACTATCCTTGTCTAACTTATGGGCAAAAAGAAATTATATTTTTCTATATACGACAGCGTAAACTCTACGCTTAAAAAATAAATATAAAACGAATGAATAATTCAATTTTTAAAAAGTTTTTCACATCTTCTTTCAGATTATATATTCTTCTAATCATAAAATTATAAAATTTCATAAAAAATTTCCGCTTATTACGGATATCTCGAGGAAAAATTTCGAGTGTCACTTTTCTCCCTAATTATATATTCTTTTGATACAAAATTCAGACACAATTTTCCATTTGAAAATTTTAATTTTGTATTAGAAGAACATAATCAAAGAAGAGGTGGCAGGAGAAATTTTTCAAATGATTTCCAAAATTTTTTCTACGAGACGAAATACACGTGTATTTAAGAGCACAAATTTTTAAATTCTTAATACACGTTCCAAACTATGATTCTCAATATTTGATCGATATAGAATCTCACACATTGTGGACTCATTATCTCTCACTAATTTATATTTCTACACAGTACTGTATACTTTTTCAACGTCCAACATATAAAGGTAAAAAATTTCGCACATGTTTCCCTTACGGGATGGCAAACAATTTTTTATCCATCACGTAAAGATAACAAAAGGGTCGAATGAAATTTTTAAAAACCTACCTATCTCACAGTCGGCGCCTTTCCAACCCTGTATGCACACCTTGTCGCCGTTCTCGTCGCAGGTGTAATGGCCGAATATGTCGTTCCTTGGCCTGCAGAACTTCGTGCAGGTCGCGTTGTAATAATGATCCGCGCACTGGACCCGAACGCGATAAGCTAGATGAGCGTTTCTCCCTTCATGATTGAGAGTGTGCCACGTGGGTCCTGGCAGGACAATGCCGCTGAAACTTGCTTCCTCGATCACGCCTGTGCTCGCCTCGTCTCTCGCTTGCAGGATAAGCGTGAATTGCCTCTGCGAACCGAGAAAAATACCATATAACGAGGCATCTTATGGGGAATTCTATGGGAATCTTCCCAGTATCCTTAAAAATATTAATAACTCTTAAAAAAAAGAAAAAATAAATTATCATTAAGTTAAAATTACTTGGCTCTTTCATCGGTTTTGCATCACTGGTTCTCAACTAAGAGATCATTTTTAATCAATGAGTACTTCTTTAAAGTAATTGCATAAATCAAATAACGATGGAATCGTAATTTTTAATATTTTTCCCCATTTTTCTTATCTTATATAGGAAGAGTCATATATCGATACATGTAACTTTACACACATTTCTTGAGTGCAGAACATTTGTTGTTCCGGCAAACGCGGATCGAAAATACGGAAAGATGATGTCACGATGTTGTCTAGGGCTGGTTCGAAAGAGGAAGAGAGGTGGTTTGATGAAGGCGGCAATTAACCCTTGGCCAGCTTGAATAATTCCTTGGCCGACGTGGCCACCAGCGCAAGATGGAGTTTTGCAAATTTACACATCACTCCCTCGACCTTTTGCCTCCCCTATTACTCCCATAATGGGATTATCAATTTTTTCACTTCCGTTTTCCGTACTTCCACGTCACCCAACCTTACATACACATACGTAAGTAAATAGATACACAGATCTTACAAATTATCTTTGATGTTCATCGATCATCGACCATGATGACTCATTTCTAAATCCTCCGGATTTCCCAGAGATTCACTCGCTATCTTTTGATCCACCAAGGATTAAACGCAACGTTCAATCATCCCTCCATCTCTCCTCCAGATGGTTGATCGATATAATCCAACGAAAAAAGTACTCGACAACCTACTCGAGAGAGTGGAAGCGTCATTCGACGAGGCATCAGGGAGGCAGAATCGGGAGGAAGTAAAACAAATGCCTTATCGAAAGTGGTGGCCAACCACCACCGATAATTACCGAGGGAACGAAGGTGGACGAAGGTGGCCGTCGACATTTTTCACCGTCGTCCCTCCGCCACAAATCAGAATAATTACAGGCAGAGTTTGCGTGCTCCCCCTTGCGTTACTCGTCCACCGTGTTGCTCCACCGTCCCTTCTCCTCGATTGCTACCACCAATCAAGCTCCGTGAGTGACGGTCGGCTAATGCAATAAATAAATTCCAATCGCGCTGTCGCGGAAGACAGCGGCTATCTGTTGGGGACGCTGCCGAGAGAGGAGAGCGAC